GTAGCGCCCCCTCCACGGGGCGCCCCCCACATCCCCCCCATCCCCCCGGGACCCCCGAAGCCGCCGACGGTCCCTGCGCTCCTCAGCCCTCGGAGGACGAGTCGTGCATCAGCGAGGTCACCGCCGGCGTCTGCGAGGAGCCCGCGGAGCCGGGGGGGCCGGGCCGCCCCCCGACAGGTACCGGGGGCACCGGGGAGGGCACCGGGCGGGGAATGGGCACCGCTGGAGGGGGCGGCTTCACCCCCGGATAGGTGCGGGAGGGGAGAACCGCGGCGGAGGCAGCTCTGCCTCCCGACACGGGAACACGGGACGGGGAGAACCGGGGGGAAGGGACGGCTCCGCTCCCCGAGAGCTCCGGGGAGGGGCGCGGCTCCATCCCACCGGCCGCTGCCCGGCAGGAGCGGAGCGCCCGGGGCTGCCGGCGGAGCCGCCGCCGCTGGAGCCGCCGCTGGAGCTGCCGGGGCCGGACCCGCGGCGGAGGAGCCGCCTGCCCGCGCCCCCCGCGCCCACGGGGGACGTGAGCCTGTGGGGGCTCCTGCGGAGCAGCGTGGGCAAGGACCTGTCCCGCGTGGCGCTGCCCGTGCAGCTGAACGAGCCGCTGAACACGCTGCAGCGGCTCTGCGAGGAGCTGGAGTACAGCGAGCTGCTCGACAGGGCCAGCCGCGCCCGCGACCCCCGGCAGCGCCTGGTGAGCGGGGGGCCGCGGCTCCGGGGGCACCGGCAGCACCGGGGGAACCGGGAGGAGCCGCGGCACCGGGGACAGCGGGGCACCGGGGGCACCGGGGGAACCGGGACAGCGGGGGCACAGGCAGCACCGGGAACACCGGGGGCAGCGGGGGAACCGGGAGGAGCCGCGACACCGGGGGAGCTGTGACACTGGGGGAACCGGGACACCGGGGGTTAGGGGGGACACGGGGCTCGGGAAGGATTAAGGGCTCAGGGGCACAAGGGATTCGGGGGGCTTGGGGGGGACTGGGGACATGAGGGGGATTTGGGGGCAGGAGGACACGAGGGACTTTGAGGACAAGGGGTCAAGGGAGGCGCAGGGGGCTTCGGGGACTCGGGGGGCTCAGGGGGTCTAGAAGGAGCTCAGGAGGTCACAGGGGGCTCGGGAGCAAGGGGATGAGGCTTGGGGACATGAAGGGTTTTGGGGACATTGGGAGGCTGAGGGCACAGGGGATTGGGGGGCTCAGGAAAGTCGGGGGCTTGGGAGACGGCCCAGGGGGACACTTGGGGAGTTTGAGGTTTGTGGGGTCTTGGGGGACACGGGAAAACTCGAGGGACGTGGGAGCAGGGGGAGCTCAGGGGACACTTGGGGAGTTTGGGAGACATGAGGGGACTTGGGGAGTTTGAGGATTTCGGGGGGGCCATGTGGGGACAGGGAGAGTTGGAGGATTTTGGAGATATGGGGGAGCCTGAAGGCTTGGGGAAACCGGGGAGTTTGGGGATTTGATTTAGGGACCTGTGGGACATGGGGGAGCCCAAGGACGTGTGGGGACAGGGAGACTTCGGGGACACGGGGGACCCCGAGGACACATGGGAACAGGGAGAATTGGAGGATTTTGGGGACATGGGGGACCCCGAGAACATGTGGGGACAGGGAGACTTCGGGGACACGGGGGACCCCAAGGACACATGAGAACAAGGAGAATTGGAGGATTTTGGGGACATGGGGGACCCTGAGGACGTGTGGGGACAAGGAGAATTGGAGGATTTCGTGGGCTCGGAGGTGCCTGAGGACACACGGGGCTCCTGGGACTTGTGGCAATGGGGGAGGGCACGCGTGTGCCCAGCCCAGGTGGGGTGGCAGTGTGGCGGTGGCCGTGGTGACAGCGTGGGGGTGGCTGTGGTGACAGCGTGGGGGTGGCCGTGGTGACAGGTGTACGTGGCCGCCTTCGCTGTGTCCGCCTACGCCTCCACCTACTACCGGGCGGGCAGCAAACCCTTCAACCCCGTGCTGGGCGAGACCTACGAGTGTGTGCGGCCCGACCGCGGCTTCCGCTTCATCAGCGAGCAGGTGGGCACCGGGGGGTCCTTGGGGGGCACCCCGGAGCTGGGCGGGGTGCTGGCATGTCCCTCCTTGTCCCCCCAGGTGTCCCACCACCCTCCCATCTCCGCCTGCCACGCCGAGTCCGACAACTTTGTCTTCTGGCAAGGTGAGAGCCCGGGACGGCGTTGGGCGCTGGGAGAGGACCCCCAAGGTGGGACTGGGGGGTCTCACCTCCTCCTCCTTCTCCTCCAGACATGAGGTGGAAGAACAAATTCTGGGGCAAATCCTTGGAGATCGTCCCCATGGGCACCGTCAATGTCCAGCTGCCCAGGTGAGACCCCAACCCCACAGACAGCCCCCCGATAGTGCACCCCCGTGCCCCGCCGCCCTCCGTGCCCACCCACGGGGCCGGTGCCCGCAGGACCGGGGACCACTACGAGTGGAACAAGGTGACCACGTGCATCCACAACGTGCTGAGCGGGCCCCGCTGGATCGAGCACTATGGGGAGGTGCTGATCCGCAACACCCGCGACGCCTCCTTCCACTGCAAGCTCACCTTCTGCAAGGTGTGCCCGCCCCGCCCCACCCCGCCTCGCCCCTTCGTGCCCACACGCTGCTCTGAACCCTCCCATCTGCATTATAGCGGCCTGGCCCCACCCCCTAATTAAACCGCCTCGCTAATTAAACGCCGCGTTGTCGCCCCGCCCCTCGTCTGGCCCCACCCCTTCCCAATAGCCCAGCCCTTTCCACAGTGCTCCGCCCATTCCAATGACCCCACCCATCACAGCCACGCCCTTTCTGGAAATTTCCACCCAGCACTCATTGCCCCTCCCTTTTTCAATAGCCACGCCCTCTCCCACTGGCCCCACCCTTGTGGTCACGCCCCTTTCCAGTTACTCCACCCTTTCCAGAAGATTCCTCCCCATGGCCCCACCCTTTCCCAATGACCCCACCCATCACAGTCACACCCTTTCCCCTGACCCCGCCTCACCGTCCCGGCCCCACCCTTGGCCG